TCGCCCTTCACAAGGAGACTTCTCTAAATCCGGCATCAAAGCTATTGCTTCGTTCTCTAGCAATCACGGATCTTGGTGTTGGCGTACTAGGCCAGCCTCTAACGGTCGCTGTTATTTTCTCAGCTTTATTTGAACGTCTGCATCTTAGTCGAGTTATTCAAATATGGTCTCAGTGTATCAACGGAATATTCTGCGTTGTATCCATATTAACATTGACCACAATCAGTGTGGACAGACTTCTCGCTCTGTTATTGAGGTTACGATACAGACAAGTCGTTACTCTCAAGCGAGTTCGCGTGGCCGTTTTCCTTTTTTGGGTTCCAACCAGTGTGGCTGGCTTTCTTTCTGTTTGGATCATTCCTCTTTTCTACTTATACATCTTCTGGTTACTCACTTTCCTTCCTGCAATTATAATTTCAACTTATTCTTATACGAGAATCTTTTTTATAATACGACGTCTGCAAATGCAGTTACAAGACACACATGGAGGCCAAACAGGAAATACCGGACTTAACATGGCGCGATACAAAAAGACAGTTTTCAATGCATTGTGGGTTCACCTTACTTTGGTAGCATGTTATCTTCCAACTACTGTAGTATCGGCAGTCACGATAGCTCAAGGCGTAAGTGTTACTCTTTTACTCGCACAAGTATGGGTATTTACCCTAATCTACCTTAATTCGTCGTTAAACCCAGTTCTTTACTGCTGGAAGATCAAGGAAGTTCGACAGGCAGTGAAAGAAACCATAACAGGGCTTTGCGCTTGTTTCTCGTCTTGAAAAAAAAAAGGAAGGCGAAAAAAAAAAAAAAAAAAAAAACGCTGTATATAAGGTTGTTCACCTACGCTTACGTTGCTAAACTATAACAATATCATCTCTGCTAAAATTAAAGAAGCTTTATCTGGAAGCAGTTTACGTCAGCTCTTGAACTTATAAGCGAAAACATTACCAATTCCGCGATTAAGTACACAAATGTCCATTGCAATTTATTAAAGAACGGCACGTCAGTTTAGTTTCTATATTTCAAAAAACAGTGGGTCATAAAGCAAACCAACCTCTCTCTTTAGCGTAACTAAGTCCCTCCAATATCCTCCAATTGAAACGGAGTTAATGCCCCGCGTATAAAAGCCGGTATCAAACCATTACTAATCCTCGTTACCTTATTTCCTCAGTTGATCGCCCGGGGTGCTAATTTCGAACTTTGGTTTCTTCCTTGTAAATTTACAGGATTGATTCGATTCTATTTTTATGCAACTATAAAATACATTTGTCAAGAAACCTAGAGTACTCAAGGATACGATATATTAGAGAGGGAATAATTAAACTTTTAATAAACAAAAAAAATAAAGAAGTATTTCTTTAACATATACTTCGAAGCAATAAAACTGAAACAAATAATAGTCAGGCTAAGAACCTAGTTGTGTCAGTCAGGATTGGAGAAGATAGAAGCTTTAATCGGGAAACAAGAAACCTTGAAAACTTTGAAGTTTTCTTGTTTCTCGGTGAAAGCTTTTATATGGTCTCGGCCATGGTAGCGACCTGCTTTCTTTGTTTTTGTTTTTGTTTTTACCACCTAATTCATGGTCAATACGTATAATTTAGGAAATCATTTCAAACAATATACATACTGTATGCAGAAGCATTGCAGAAACCAGGAACTGACATCGAGTTCGGTTTTGTAGCCTTTCCAGCGGAGATAATCTGCATTTTTAATTAGGTTAACGAGGAGCGTTGGTCGCAACTTTCACAACTACTATTAAAGATCTTTCATTAAACTGAATCTGAGGAAAATGGCCCACTTCGTATTACGCATCGTTCTTTACAATAAACACCAGACTTTCTTGGAGATACGGTTTAATCGCACTCGGCGTGAAATGATGTAATCCCTTTTCGGTCCATTAAAGCTCGCGATCACTAAATTTTGAAAAAATGCCAGTCATTCGTCATTTAATTAATGCGCGGTTTTCCGTACTGAAGTGGTTTCTTTGAATTCTAAGATACATTTGGCCAATGTTCAAACACATACTTTATGCGAGCAGTAATGTTCTTCTCGAAGTCACTCCGGTAAATTTTGACACAGTTCTGCATGTGTGTGATTTCATTCTATAGGGAAATAAATTGAACAGGCGGAGAGGTCGAGATAGTAGGCGGCCAAATTTTGCCACTGATTTCAATTAACACCAAAATTAAAAATATCCTGTCTAGTTCTCTAAAACCGGCATTGGGTGTAGATTGCCTTTGGGTAAACATGACACGATTCAATGTTCAACCGGCTTGTTTACATATTACATAATGTCCGTTCTGTGTACTTCAGAGGATTTACTGGCCTTTATTTCTTCAAAGTTTCAGTGTAAAAGGCGCATGAATGTTTAGTTAGCGCGTCAGTCAGGTCAGCCATAAGATATAAGCATCATTCAATCTGTAAGCAACATTCGTGACTGTGGAGATCGACCTCAATTTTCGATGTGTTGAGCTGATATTTAACTAATCCGTTTAAACGTCCGTCTCTAAATGGAAAAGTACACTTAAAATCTAGGGGAAAGTGCATTATTTGAAATCATATCACCTTATGTCTTCCGGTCCACTCAGTCAAAATTAGCATGACCGTGAAAACGTCGCGCAGGTGTGCGCAAGCCTTCCAATTCAAAAACAACACCTACCACGGCGAAACACAGCAGACCATCTTGAAACAGTCACAGGATAAGAAGAACTTTGAGAAGAAAATAGTTGTGCTGACTACAACGGAAACTAAATGACCTTTTTACTTCTCAGAGGAAAAGACTGAGAACTGGATGCACCAAGAGGAAGGATGTTCACTTATTTCGGTATTCATGGAGGAAGACAAAGTACTTTAAGTAACTATAATTGTTTAAGCTTTCATCAACATTGCATTTATTCTGTTACAAATGATATATTACACCTTTAATTTCTCTGAATAAAGATAATACCAATACTTCTTTTTCCACTCTCGGAAAATAAATATAGTCATTTTCATATTTAACATTCTTGCCAGATAAATTATATTAATTCTTGTGATATCATTTCTTGACGTTCATATTAAATATAGTTATTTTCATATTTAATATTCTTGCCAGATATATTATATTAATTCTTGTGATATCATTTCTCGACGTTCACATTAAAAATACCTCTCCAAAAGGATATTTGATAATTATTCTATCTGGCTAAAATTGTCGTTATCGTCGTGTTAATTTTTTCCAAAGTCCCAGCTTAGAATTCCAACAACAAATGCTGTGCTTACGTTCCTTAAAATAGATTCATGTTATAATATGATTTCCAGTTCGGTCGGGCTCGTTAAAACAGAAAACAATATACAGTGCTAGCAGGAGCCCTTAGTGATGGGCTCCTGGTACTAAATAAAAAGCATTTCTGAAGTAATTTTACTCTTGTTAGTCCCTTAAAGAGTCTGTCACCATGTTCTATCATGATAGTGATACCCTTTTCCCTTAAGCTGTCACCTCTGATCGGCTTATAATTTCTCTACACCTTTATACCTACCTATAAGTAGGTGAATAACAAGAGTAGAGAGGCCGATCAGAGCAACAAATTCTCCCAACTTGGTTTATGAAAAATGGATGAAGGAGTAAGGAGAATGTTGTTACTGAGACGTTATGGAAAGTACGATAAATGGCTAAGAAGAACCTGGAAGAAAAGCTGTTTATAATGTAGTGCCGCCTCTCGTCTTGCTAGTGCGGTGTGTTACGGTTTTAAAGCAAGGAACACAGCTTGTTAATCCATCTGCAATAAAAATGTTAGAGTTTATTTAGGTGTATGTTAAAGGACGATGTTAAAGGTTAATAAAGAGCAGTCACTGGGTGTTTGTTCAGGACGGTACTAATTTATTTGCTCAATTTAAGGGGCAGCTCCAATCTTACTGGCTAAAAGCCATGCTGAAATCCAAAGCGTGCCTCGCTCATTGATCCTGCATCTTGAATATGCAAGCATCAATAAAATCCCAGTGTGTTATATTTACATACGTTTACACAATATAGTATTTTAATCTTGTAATCGACTACGTTTTTTAAGCTTTAAAATTAAAGTAAGAATTAACTTAATTATACGTGCGCTTTTTAAAAGTTGCTGTTTAATTTAAGTTTAAATTCATTTCAAGGACACACAGGCACGTTTCAAAACGTGTTAGAACTCATCATGGCGTAAGAATACCCCTGGCGAATGTTCTATTTACAGTCCCCATTTTTCTTTCTTGCGTCCAACCACTAGTATTCCGTGTAAATGCAGTGTTTATTATTTTTACAGCATACAATATCTACATAGCTTCGTCTTAAGGCGCGCACATTGGAAAAACATTTAATTTTTTTTATACCCTACCCACTTGGACAGACTCGCTGGAACCGTAAATTTCAAGTGAAACGGTTTTAACCTTTTTACTTTCACTGATGGTATAACTCCTGACGAATGTTAATCGTGTCCATAATAACTTTAACTGAGCGCTGGAACGACATGCGCATTTCAACATGTGAAATTCGGACAACAAATTTAATCAATACATCCTCTCTCACCCTAAGTATTCGGTAACCTTCACAACTTACCTACTGGGAACGACTTCGTTTAAAAAAATTCCTAATCAAGTGGCAACTGAAACGATAAAAAATATTAAGACCATTAGTTTTACACATCACAGTTTACACATTAACAGTTTTACACATCAAAGTTTTACCGACCAGTAAGTCCTCTTCCAACAATTACACGCTCGTCACCCCAAAGCCGTCTGGGTGTAATAAGCCTTTTGTCTTTGTATGTCAACTTAGAGTATACCAAATTCAGTTTAACCAATTCTTTTCTTTGTCTTCAAGAATTACCTACAACTAGAAATGATGTGTGCTCCAACGATGGACCGACACTATTTAAATTCAAATTGTACGGAGGTAACATTATACGGAGGTAAGATTTCAATACGGAGGTAAGATTTCAACACGAAGGAAAGTGAATCATGGAGATTGACAGTTACAATAATAACAACAGAAAAAGCATTCGGGAATTTATTTAGTCAGTGTGGAGATCATGAACTTCTCAACAAAAAAAAGTTGGCATAAACCTTCCACTCCATAGCTTCCTTGACGCATGCGCTCTCTTTGGGTGTGAACCTTAACAAATGGCCGATCACGTTGATCAACTGGCGAGACTAACAAGACAAACACAACACAACATATTATAAACTTAAACATTACAAATAACATTTAGAAAACAACCTGGAGAAAGCGCAAGCTCGGAATGGCATAAAGCCGCGTTGTAATAAAATTTCCTGCAAGTTACTTTCTTCAAGAAAACTTTTTTTTCGTGCTCCTAAACATTGAGAGAAACACTCGCGCAAGGTTAGGAGAGCTCATTCCCACCCCTTTTACCTTAACACAAGCATAATATGACTACGCCTTTTCTATTTCCCCTTTCATACCAAAATAAGAGTCACGCAAACAATATTTGAGAACACAGAGGCATGGGGAGAGTCATTTAAAAAAGTCTTGTCCAACAACACCCCACAATCCCTTTGGCCAGGGATTGGATGCCAACCTCTGGATCCAAAGTCAAATGAACCAACCAAGTGTGAACAGACGTAATCATAAAGCACGAGCTAAAAACAAACCAGCTGTTAAATAAAACAGAGAGGGAGAATACTGAACGACTACAACATTACCTGCTTGTTCGTACTGCACATGTATTTTAATACCACATGTTTTAAATATCTGACTTTGAGTTAAGGTGATACTGTAAGTTAAATTAATATATCTGGTTTTCATAGCTATGGCAGGGAGGTTGTTGGAAATT